AGGACATCGACACCTGTACCAACTGGTACAGGGTGGCTACAAACAACCGCACCTCACAAATGCGTATGTCGCACAATGACATTGAGACGGAGGCGAAAAGACTTCCTGACCAGTACCCCCCAGCTTGTATTGCACGGATGTACATCCTTGCATGTTGATGGATAAAACCAATGACTGACGACACTCATGAGCGTTGAAAGAGGGCTCGCGGCTCTCTATGCTGACTAAGCTCGTGGGGCCAAACTCTCCAAAACCTCTACTTTCTCTCTTGACTTCGCTATGCTCAATCCTAAAACTCCGTGGTGGGTTCTCCGGGATTTCCGCAAGGTCCGGGCTCAGCGTCCACTACTCACTCGTTGTGAGCTAGATCACTGCCCTTATTCCTACTGTTGGAATTCCACACACTCACACCCACTCTAGCGTGTCCTAGCACCTTAGAGAAAATGGGGGAGGGGAGAACTTCTCTTCAAAAATCCGGTATGTACAGGATTATAAGAAATAATTATTTTTAGAAATAATAGATGGTGAATATTGGTACCATATGGCACCTGGGTACCTTATTAGGCAAAATAATAAAAAGGGTAACAGTAACAATAAAAGAATATCAATCAATAACTGAAATGATGGCAAAATATGAAAATAAAAGAAAATAAGCGATATCTCAATGGATTTGCGGAATTAAAAGCCTAAATTGGAAATGTAGCCGGAGATAACTCTCACGCAGCCAATGGGCATTTTTACCAATTTATTAGACGCCGTGGGAACGAGTGAGGCTGGAATTCTGGGTTGCCGCTTGAGATTCCCACGCCCGCACATGCCCGTGACCTGCTGTGCCTAACTTGCCCAACATTGAACTCCGTCAATTCTCCACCGATTGGGACGTTCTTGGTATCGTCAGAATTGTACGAATTAGGACTATTTTTGGATACCAAATTCGTATCGAGTTGTCGCATGAATGGAAGCGGTTTCTGAATGTTGGAAGCGGGTATCCAAGCCGGCTCTGTGCGTGGGCGATTATCCCGCCTACAGCGTCGTAAAATTCAACGTCAGGAACGAGCACTTATGTACTCGAACCCTCCCCCAATGTCGTACTCAAACCCACCTATGATGTACACGAGCCCACACCCTGTGGTGTATTCGAACACCCCACCTCCGCTGCAGTACTGTCAGGGCACGCTGCTGCTGCCGCCACCTCCTTTCCTTTTGTCTCATCCTCTCATTCTCTCTTCTCTCCTTCTTCTCTTTTTCTATCTTTATACAGATGACCTCTCTTTCTTTCCTACACTTGTAGCACAGATGTGTCCAACGCTGAGCACCCCGTAGGGGCACCACAACGCCAGACGCGCCACGCACTCCTACTTGTATTTCCCCTCCAACACTTGGGATCGACTGTGGAGCCACCCATGGTAACCCGGCTTCGTCTGAGGGTGACGTGGCACCTCCATGTGACCCATTCACACATGTATATAAACTAAGCCGAAGCAGGACCGAAGAAGTAACCTTCTTCTCATTTCCCGCTTCAGGCAAGTACCCTAGTTTAGTCTAGCTTCCCACCCTAATAACAATACATTTCCCGCTTCAGCCTAAGAAGCCACACAGGGATGTAAGCCCGAGTGAGGGCTGCCCACTATATGGTCCCACTGCCCCGCTGCTGTCTGGGCCGCTAGCGCCGAGCGCTACACCGCTACCTCTGCCTTCCTCGAGCCATCCCTGACAAGTACCCCCCTCCAATGTATGCACACTCATCGGTGTACGAATCCGCCCACACACCACCAGTGCGTGGGCATGCTCCCTCCACTTCCCATGGATGAGGCCATCCCACGCACCATGCCCATTACTCGCACCGTCATCAAGATGAGGATTCATCCATGAACAATGCTGACATCGAGACTCGTCACTACAACAACAACTATCTCAGTGACGATGTCACTGTTGATGCAGCTAGGTCCACATCAACTCATAGGACTACGTCGAATCGCCCATCCGGCTCTGGCCCATCCGGGTCCGCACCGTGTAAACAGATGAGGAACTGATCCCCTCATATCCCTACCTTCGTCAATGACAATGCCGTCATTGATTACCCACTTTCATCAACAACAAGGCCGTCGTTGATTAATAACTTCTTACCTTCATCAACAACAATGCTGTCATTGATTATCTATTTTGTACCTTTCCTCTTTCGTCAACGACACCATCGTTGATTATTCATTTTTCTCTTCGTCGACGACAACTCTGCTGTCGACGACCTCCACTGTCAACATCGTCACAGTGGACGATGGTATTTAATAAACTCACAATGACGAGAAAGTCGTTTCATCGTTGACAACTCTGTCGTCGAGATCTGGGTGCATATGTTCCAGGAGAAACTCTGAGTGGGCTTCGCCTACAAACTACTATTATAGCCTCCTGCAATGAGTGTGCCCCCGTTTGCATACATCTTTCATATGTAGAACGTTAAAATTCGATTTCTTTAAAATGCTTGCTTTCCCTTTGTGTATGTATGCTTGTACCCTGTCTGTGATTTAATATCGCAAGGGAGGAGGATGTGAGGCCCCAGCCCATGTCTATATTCCGCCCACAACATCAGTTGATGTTGTGTTGTCTAATAGTTATGTCGCGACGCTAATTTAGCATCACGGAAGCTTCTCTATTTATTTGTGCCGAGAATGCATTAGATTGTATATAAACCCTCGGGGTAGCTGTAAAAGGCAGATCAGCCTTTTACCTCTACCCCGTTGAATATACAGCTCATCAAAGCTTATGTTTAGACGGACTAACTGAGGCCTGAGGCAAATGGGGGAACGGAACGTTACCGTCCCCAAATAGTAAGCAGAACCTTTCAGAGATTCATCCAACGCCACCATATGAGAACGAAGATTTTGTCTCCTATCCTGACTTTTATGAAGTCTGACACATTACTGTGCACCCAAATCACGTTCAAACTGTATGCAATGTTGATGCAGCCTGAGTTCATCTTTGTCTCATGTCCCCAACTTCACTTGAAAACCTGAGATGGTTTGGTTACACTGCTAGAATCCTACTATAAATTCAACTGAGCCCATGTCTATTGATAACACAAGTGATAATTGCTTCGCCTTTGGTGTCTCCGAAGTACAATCAAAGGGTGTCACTGTCGGAAATTAGGTAATATATATCTAAGAATTGCGAAGCAGCAAAAAGAACCTGGGAGCAAATTCCTTACAAGCTCGACCATTGAGAGCCTCAAGTCACAGCTTACATCATAGCGTGGGGTGGTGGGGGCCCCTGTTGAAAATGCCCTGTTTGGGTGGACCCAGCCATGCAGAACAGGTACCTTCGAAATAATATTACATTAAATCAAACAAAGCAAGACAATGGAAAGTCAGAAATATCAGAAGAATAGCGGTTGTAAAGTAGCATGTTATTACGCTCAGTATAGTATCAAACACAGTGGAGCTTTATTGCTCAGGCGGCTCTTGTGATTATCCAGAAATTGAAATGGCTAGAAATCGGGTCAAATCTAAGTCCCTAATATCTCAGATGTTTTAAGAATCTCTATTTACAAAGAGTATTTTTATAGCGCATACGAACAGTTTCAGAGGAACATGTGGGTCTGCAGAGAGAGAGTAGACGCCATCATAAAGCTCTTGTGGTTACACATGATAGTTGGGTGAGTGGTCACGGCACGGCTTGTGATGACTAGTTGCATGCTTCGGTCAATCAACACAAATGCCCAATCTACACATGCAACATCCGCGAAGCGAAGAGTTAGTTCACACAAGTTTGTCTTATGGAACCTCGTGGATGTGCCCTGTATTCATCTGCGGTAAACGCACAGATGGGAGATTGAAGTCCCGCAGGCGTCCCGAGAAGGCCTTTTTCAAGCCAGTCGAGGCTCGATTGTCGTCCTCGCCTTCATCTTGGAAGGTGTACAGCAGTGGAATCTCCCGCGTTGCCTGGTACTGGTCCATGTTACCCAGCTGTTCATTTTCCAGACGGTCTTCATGTGTCAAAATGTCAAGTTTACAAATTCAGACAGATGGGGCACCAGGGATGCACAGATATTCCAGTGGGCCCTGCGAAGAATTCCTAGAAACACAACAATGAACATTCTCGGCGTGATGTTCAGCCCCGAAGGCACCAGAGAGTGAGAGAACCAAATAAAACAAATAAGCACGTTGGATACCTAGCAACTACCATCAGGACATATCCAGTAATAATACTGCCTTAGTGCTCACGATTGCAAAATAATAACGCTGTCCGATGAAACGTGAGCAAGTTACCATAGCTGGGCCTGGTGGCGCACCGGAATATAGTTCCTGTATAAGAGCTCGGTGCGGAGGAACCTGTACTCTGCCATCGGATCAAGTAAGGACCAGTCTACGAGCAGGTCCTAGGGAACGTGACATTCAGATCAGAGAGCTTGATGAAATGTAAAACCAGCGATAAACTGTACCCATGCTGATGTGTAGAGTGACATGACTGATCCACTAAGGCAAAGCAGAATGAAGGCAGTGTCTCCGATTTTTGTGCCGTTGTGCCTCCACAGGTAGTAGAAAACATAGTACATCACACTCGATAGATAATTTCCGCCCTGAGGATACCCACATCAGAAGACCAGGCAAGTAAATGACTGCTATGATGGAGTCAGACTGACATTGATCATGTGCATGCGAAGTCCGCTGTCGGAATAACGTTTAGGCATTGAACAAAACGTATCAACGACAGCATGCAGCTCAAAACAAACGGTGTCTGCCAATGATGCACAAGTCCGCATTTTTCATAGCTATCGGGAGCCCAGTCATTGTGGACTGAACATGCAAGAGTCCAGAGGGAAGCAAGGGAGAATGTAAGACTGCAGAATTGGTCACCGAGCCAGAAGTCTGCGAAAGTATGGATCAGAGCTGATTAGCATTGGGAGTAGTGACATTTCTGCTTGCCTGAAAACTTAGAAGATGGACACCCCATTACATTCAGCATGTCTGTAGGCTAATTCCCAACAAGAGGATGTACCTCGACAGGGACGAGACCAGAGTCGAACAATGTCAAGAATTTCTTCAAAAACCAATACCTTGATGATCTTGCGAACATAGGCAACGGGTTCAGAACAAAACAAATCGTGAATCCAAGCCAGACTATCGCGCAAGTATGAGCAAATGGCAAATATTAAGCGGATAAAAACAGGGAGTACCTAATGGCCAGGTAGTTGCAGCAATGTTGCCAACACGACTGAACGAGAGTAGCGCACAGTAGGATAACGTAAGGAATGCAAATGAGGGTATCTCGACGTATTGACGAGGATCGATCATTGTCCGGACATCAAGCTCTAGGCAACAACATAACAGGGTGTCAAAATATGGGTAGGATAAGTTTTGTGGTGAGCTTACCGAAGATGAAACCGTAGTTGATCCGATGTCGTTTCCACACAAGCATGTTGACTCCAATAAGTAATGCTAGAACGACCGGTAGCAGGAATCCACCTTAAACCTGTAAGAGCGCAGCCCAAGCAGGGATTGCTTCCCGAGTCTCCTCTTGGAAGCCTACGACCGAGTCAGTTGAAGTCAGCAATGTGATTATATCGTATAGCACTTAGGAATATCACGCGAGAAAGCGCAGCAATGCCCAGTCCGGTGTATAATCCGGACCGGAAGGATCGAGTGTGTTGGGGGTTTCCCTGCATCGTGTCTCGAAGTCTCTCTCGTGCAACTTTCTTATCACCATCAGCTGACGGGGAATTGAGTTTCTGAAGTGCGCGGTAAAGCATTCATCACTTACTGAAATGCAAAGCATATAAAGATTCGATGTTGGAGATCATTTCAAGCATCTTCGTCTCTGATGCAAATGCGCAGTTGTCAACCTATCACCGCACCAATGAACGGGCATCAAACTAGGGAAGACGGAAGGTAATCACTTTCTCAGTCATGTAGGGCTGCTGTGCGGGAATACGGGTCACTTTCTGGGACTTCTTCAACGCTTTCCGGAACCCAGTTAAATTGAGAATCTACATGGATGTTAACACACAGGATGAAGTTAGCTCCAGACCTTGCGCACCCGATAATCATTCAATAGTTCGATTCCACTGTATGAACGTAATAGGTTCGGAAATCTGACGATTGGAATAAGAACATACCGGTAATGTTCGCGAGTGGCTTTCTTGAGTTTCTTCTTATTCTGATGATACAGATCAGGATCACGAGGGGGTGGAGCTCCGCCGATTTGCTCTTGGGTACTAGAAAACTCGTCCGAGGGTCCCTCGGCCCGTGTCCCACCCTGCGAAGTGGTGATAATATGCAACGCATCTCCTACAAGACCCCAATGTCGGGAGGCTGCAGCGGAATTGTCCTGTACCTCCTACCTCTATCGTCAACTCAAGAACGACAAAGAATCTGCAAGCCTTTACACACGTGATAAACTTTACGATGAGCCTCGAGTTCGCGCAGTTGCTCATTCAGCAAGGACGAGAATATGACGAGTTCCTCTAACTTTTCAAGGTGGAATCTTTCGACTTTATCCAACTCTTTGTCTAGAATATCGAAAAAACGTAGCTCTGGGGGCGGCAAAGTGTGATATATTTCGTTTAAGCTGCAAGTCCTCTGTACGGATGTGCCTTTATATGCGAGTGAGTAATAATGATTCAGCGCCAAAATATAGAATGAGAACGTGGTCTAACCAGTAGTGGTAGAGGCTCGATGACGAGCGTTTGCAGGGGATACCCGAAAGTAGGTACTTATTTGTGCACTCAGACTCAGACGGCACCTAGACGTGTTACGTGGGTCTGTCTGCCAGTCCTGCCAGATGAAGTGGGTACTCTCCCATCTGCAGGGTCCTGCAAAGCCGGTGGTAGCTCCGTCATAGGAGACGTAGGCTCTGGTTCCCGCGCAGAAGACATTCTCGTCAAAGGTGGGGAATGCCTGTGCGAGCCATACGTTGGGAAGGGGAGTCTGTTGTCGCTCAACCGATCCGCTTCTCTGCCTGCTCTAGACGGGGTGAAGGAGTGTTCAGAGGCGGGAGGCAGTGGATTGGCGCCGCGGAAAGTCAACGGAGAACCCCTTGGCGTTCGCGCACTAGATACCACTACGCCGTCTGGTCCTACCCCTGGAGCCGTCGCTCCTGATCTTACCGAGGTTCGTGAAGATGGGCCAGACCTTGAGCGCTCCAGCTGGACACCGGAAATTTCGCGAACACATCTCTTAAGTTTGCGATAGTCGCTGAGAAGCCATATTAGTAGTCGATTTCCCACAACCAATCTGTTAGCCAAAAGCGCCCACATATAGGCCCGTTTCCATTCCGGAGTCTTGGCAGGGGGAAGCAAGTTGTCAATACGACGATACTGACTCTGTGCAGTTTTCCAACGCACCTGGGTGTCCTCGAGATAGCGCGCAAACTTCATCGCATAGCAAAAAACAGCAAGATCGAAACGAGTGACCTCTTTCCCATATCGTCTGATAGCCAGGCATGGTCGGAGTCAAATTTCGAAAACAACTGAGCGCAACCATATCCTAGTACGAGATTGGTCACAAGCGAGGTCCCACAACAATATTCGCTCCAATTAAATTCAGCCAACTCCGCTACAATACCAGACTCGTACCCAGTCGTCGTCGCTCCGTGGACGCGCACTGCGTACACGCAATTTCAAGTTGGGTTTATATTAAAAGTCACAGTCACCTTTACATGATGCATGAGTAGTCATCTTTTGTATTGAAGTCACATGTGCCGGAAATAGAGTTAAACCCGATCACCTACTCCGAAAACCACTTCGCTCCAACGACTGACACAAAAGTTGGGTGGCCCGACCGCGAAGTCATTAAACTAGAAAGGTAAAAGCAAAGCGAACAGCTAGTACACGCACGAGAAAGTGAAAAAAAAAAAAAGAAAAGAAAAGAAAGAGAGAGAGAAATGAAAAAGGGGCGGCAATGTCGACCAGGGGGTAAAAGCTCAGGCAGCACCAGGGTGGGCGTCATGCCGACCCCGAGCCCAGGGCCGTCGACCATGAGCGCCCAATTGCCATCTTATAAAACGCCGAGCGCGGCCTAGGCAATTGGGTTTATGGGTAGTTCCGCAAGAACTAGGACAGTTCACAGGAACATCCACACAGCCTACGCGCCGTAGACTAGGTGTCCCACTATAGACTCGCAGAGTCAGGAGGTTCTACCTCTATCTGTCTTCCCCCCTGACGAGGGCACAGCCCAAGCAGACAACAAAGCCCGGGACCCCCCAAAAATCAAATTAAATTAGAGCCCTATGAAACCTACCAATCGCCCGCCTCAGCCCTAACCTCAATACAGTGCCCATGAAACCACAAGTACCACCTCCCTAATGCGCACCCAAATGATGCCCTAACCCACCACTAGCCACCGATCACAACCGAAGCCTGGCCCGTCACCTAACAGCTACCCAGGCAGTCCCCGGCCACTATTGGCCAAGATGGCCCAGCAGGAAACGCTCTCCCTCACCCCCTTACCCAATCACCCTGTCCCTTTATAACTACGCCGATCTGCGTCTCAACCATATGACTCCCCAACAACCCCTCTGAGAGCATATGCACGACACACCCAAACTGCACCATTAAGCTCGACCTGGTATCCCAAAAGCGAGTTTCAGATCTCCCGAGCATTCTGGAGACACCCCCTCTCATACCTCTGCAGCCCCGGCTCCAGTTTCCCCACACCCACGATAGGAGTAGGGCCGGGAGACTCCCCCCCAGCCACAGTGGACGAGATCTCAAGGGTAGTTATGACAATGTACAACACACTGACGAAAACCCTGACCAACAACCTAAGTGCGGAAAAACAAAAAATAAAAATAAAAATAATTACCACCTGCCATCCCACTGCAATAACCTGTACAACCTGTGTGAACTAACCCATACCACAACCAAATGAGCATTACCTAGGCCACTCCTGAATTGCGTAGTCAATTTGCCCACTGATTTAAACCAGAATCGCCGCTGCCAAATCTCCACCCTGGCATGGCTACAACATCTGGGCAAGAAACCCGCTACACCCTAATATCTCATAGAATCAACTTTCCCCCACTAGAATCAAGGGGCACCACTATCCCCCCAGGCCCACCCGTAACACTCTGAACATTCGCCCCCAAAACGCCACTGGTAAATGACCCCCGATGACTAAACAAACCGACCCGACCCTGGCCCACCCCACATGCCTAGATTGCCCCCCACCCAGATCCGGGAAAACCCAAACCCCCCCCTAACCGCCAATCGAAAATACTGACGCATTCTAGCAGCCGGGAATAAAACGGGTAACTCCGCAGGAACTGTGTCAGTTCCCTCCCCCCCCAACAAGTTCCCCGCTAAACCATGGAGGTAAATATCCCCCTGTTCACCCCATAACCTCTGACAAGGTCCCAGTCTGAACAGCCATCCATACCCCTCCATACAACCTTCCAATCCCTACTGAGGGCTGAGGACGAACAAATGGCAGCAGCCATAACCAATGTGCCACAAAATTTCACCGTCACTATAGCTGACCGGGATGAGGAGATCACCCACGACTCCGACTCCGACAATACAGACACCTCCCAACCCAACCCCCTCTTCGGGAAGAACTACCAAGGAAGCGGTAAAAACCAAGACCCTACTCCAGCATCTGAAAATGAAATGAGGAAACACGCAAGATCACCCACCGCCACAAGACTCCAGGGCCCTTTAAAGGCCCCCCCCCCGCTTTCTCCCCCCTAAAGCGATGAGGCCCCTCCTCACCACCCCCCAGAACTTCAAACCCTCCCTTGTGCCCACCCCTGATGTCTTGGACTTTGAGTCTGGAGGCTCAGCGGCTTTCCTAAAAAATATAAACCCCACCGAATTCCCTCCATCCCGGAGCCCAGCCATGGACGGTGATGGATCCCCCATTGCCATGGACCACCCAACCTTCATGCCGGTACTTGCAGAAAAACCCGATGACGGAAGAGATGACCTCAACTGTTATAAAAATGGGGCCTAATTGGCCCATTTCTATAGCGTTCGGGTGCAGGAGGGGGCCGTGACATTGAGAAGATGTTACAATTAATGTAACAGGTGTTATCGGGGTTTTTGGGTAGTAATTGTTGGTTTTTTGTTGTTATTATTTACATGTCACGTGATATTGTACTGCATAGAGCCCATAAGAGGCTAAAAATGGGAAAATCCCATTTCCATAACATCAACTGGCTACCTCTCAGCCCTGGCCTAGCCAACTTTTACGCACACGGCTTCCGCCCAGGTCGCCTCCTTGAAGGAGCAAACCCTGACCGTGCCAAAGCCTGGCTAAAAAAGGCAGGTGCCATTCTAGTCCTACCCCTAGATGCCGCCCACAGCGAAGAAAACACCAGCAACTTCCAGACCAACATGGAAGCTTTCCTCGAAAGAGCATTCCCACACCAAGTAGGAGAAGTGAGCATTATCCCCCTGTCCCCATTGACCTCAGACGTGGCGGAACCCCCCAATACGCTAAACTGTGGGGCTTCTTAATTGATGGCCTGAACCCCCAATTCGCTGACCTCCTCATACGCGAACACCTATGGATATGCAAGACGTTTGGGTTCATCGCTATCGGCACTAGATTCAAGCCTTCTTCCTTCATGATTTCAATTGTAGGAATGGGCAACAGGTTGAAGGACGTGAACAACATTAAAGATGCTGTCAAGCAAACTATCACCAAATCACCAAGCCCCTTCCGAACATTCCTAGAGGAGGCAAGCATGACAACTGACCAAATAAAGGAAATTGTAGACAGTGTCAGAGTAATCCCAAGAGGATATGCCCCCAACGGAAAGGAATATAACGAAAACACCGAGGAAAAAAGAAGGCTGACCTCAGACAAATCGGTAACCATGTGGGAGCTGCATATAGACCCTCCCTTCAAGACCCTCAAAGAGGCACGAGAAACCGCACATGACCAATGGTCCCATATTTTCAAAATGGCCTCGTTCGTAAGTGAGAGAACCCAAGCCAGACACACCTTCAACAGACAAAGAGTCTGTAACACCTGTAAAGCCTCCGACCACTTATTCCACTGCTGCCCGATCCACTCTCACTCTGCCTGGAATCAACGGTACCCCAAACAAGATGCCGACATGGAAGCAGATACCGACAGCAATGCGATCCCCTCCAGCTCTAGTGGAGGTCCATTCCCCTCCCTCCCTTGACACCTGCCTTATTCAAACTTCCAACGTGGAAGAGGACGTGGCCGTCCCCCCACCCAATATGGCTCACGATTCCTCTCCTTTGTCCCTCCAAAATACAACTTTGACTGATATGCACCTTAAAAGGATTTCACCCTGAACCGTGGACAAATGGCAAAATAAATTAGATAACCAAAAGAGCCCCGCTCACATCACGTAGTTACTCTGCCCTGTCCTGTAAATACTTCCCTCACAAACACTATGATTCAATTGAAAACCCTAACTAACCCATAACCTCCCCTCCTCCCCACACCCTACTGAGCCCACACTTACTGAGCCCACGGGCGACAGGAAAGCCCAGTAGCTTGATCCCAAAACGCCCGAAAATACCCTGAACCCCGGCTGGCAATCGGATCGGGAAACACCAAAATGCCTGTAAAAAGATCAACCCCCCAAAGCCCAATCACACGGCGAATACCCAACTGGTAAATAGACCACAGCCCCCGGTGCCCAGAGGGCAGAGAATTTATACTGTTTTATCAAAACCCAATGATGGTCACCAGGGATCGGAAAACAGACCAAAAACCCCAGCCCCACATATACCACTCCGCCTAAGAGGTGGAAGACCCCCAACGACCCCAAACGGCCACCTCTCCATTGCGGCCCTCAACATTAGAGGAGCCAACAGCCCACAGACTAAACAAAAATGGAACCTTATCACAAATAAAATGAAGGATAAGATCACTGTGATGTGCGTATCAGAAACCCACATCGACTCACCCCAAGAAGACCTACTAGCCAACCGGTACAACAATGAATTCCACATCATCCACTCCTTTGACCCGACCCACACCAGAGCCGCCAGCATTGCAATTATCATCAATAAAAGCATCATAAAAAAGAAGCCAACGGAATCGACCAACCTTATCCCTGGACGAGCCATCCTCACCATGATCGAATGGCCACCTGGCAACAAGATCACACTATTAACAATATATGCCCCAAACACTAGAGGGGCAGGTACCGAGAACACCGCATTCTGGCAGAAACTAGGTGAACTCACAGAAAACATCCAGGTCGACATTGCCCTGGGTGACTTCAACATTGTCGAAGAAGCAATTGACCGTTCCCCCCAACACGAAGATGCGAATGCTGCAGTAGTGGCCCTAAAAGAACTCCTCTACCTCCATGACCTAAAAGATGGATGGCACCAAGCAACCTGGCACCCACAAAAAACTACACCTTCGGACACTGTACAGGAACTCATATGTCACGAATTGACAGGATCTATGCCACAAATGAAATAATAAATAAATCACTCACCTGGAGTATCAAAAACCCAGGCATCCCAACGGCTGACCACCAGCTGATCTCAATAGACATACATGATCCCCACGCACCACACATTGGCAAAGGCAGATGGGCAATCCCAAACTACCTAGTAAACGACCATGAATTCCTGAAAGGAGCCGAAGATCTTGGGAATGAAGCACTGGACAAAACCAACCAACTCACCGCACTAAATACCCCCGGTGTCATATCCATTCCCGGCCATCGACTTCCGGTCCCTCCGATTCCTCCGTTCCAACTCCGCT